AGCTGGCGAGGTCCGAGCACCGAGGAGTCCCTAGTGTAGTTGGCGATGTCCGAGCACCGAGGAGTCCCCGGCGTAGCAAGCGATGGCCGAGCACCGAGGAGTCCCCAGTGTAGCTTGCGACGTCCGAGCACCGAGGAGATCCCGGCGTAGCTGGCGATGTCCGAGCACCGAGGAGACCCCGGCGTAGCTGGCGACGTCCGAGCAACGAGGAGATCCTAGCGTAGCTGGCGATGTCCAAAGGTGAAGTGTGCCCACTTAGTCCTCGAGCACGAAGAATTCGAGCACCGAGGAGTCCCCGGTGTAGTTGGCAATGTCCGAGCACCGAGGAGCCTCTGGTGGTAGCTGATGATGAAGCATGAGCAACGAATAGTCCGGTCAACTAGTTGGCGGCGAAGTGAGCATTGAGTGGAAATGACCGGCGAACTGTCTGATCAACTGGTCGGTGACAAAATCCATGAACCTAGCGGTCTGACCAGTTGATCGGTGGAGAAGTCCGAGCATCAGGTGGTTCGATCACCTGGACGATAATCCTACAATACAAATATGTAGAACGGGTAGTACATGATGTAGAAATATATAAACTCTGGAGAAGAAATAGCGTATGTAGCTCGGCGATCAGTTGGTGTGAAGATGTATTTATATTTAATATAAACCGCCCGATCAGTTAGTGTGTAGCTGAGTCTCCAGCCCTAGCTAGCCTATTAACCATAACACGGAGCGCAGAGCCCGTGTGCGTGTAGGAAGAACAAAGCGTCGCTAAGGAGCCGCTGCCGACCACCCATAACGTAGAGGGCAGACGCTCGTGCACGTGTAGGGAGGAGCCGAGATAGGGCCGTCTCTAGGGACATCCGAGCATCAACATGACTGTTCGGGGGTTCAGAAAATCGTTTGGAGAGCAAACATGGAGAAAACAGTTCGGAGAAACATTATGGCGATATACGAAGACCGGAGAATATTTAGAAAAATGTTAAAGCATGACTTAGCTTTGGACAGAACATCTGGTCGGTGGCGTATGGCGTTATCTGGTCGGCGTGTACGAAATTGCTCGGCCCTTGAGCTTTCCAAAGTTACTGGTCGGCGACGCGGGCAGCTCGCTTGAGGGCTCGGGTGGCTGCGAGGAGTCGTAGTTGAATAGATGTAGTTGGTAGCCGTGGCTAAGTAGTCGAAACTGCTTCCCGGTAGGTTCTTAATCAACCCGAGCAGTTGCCGAGTAGTCTTCCAGGTTGTCGCCATGCATCTTGCATGTATGCACGCATGCAAGCCTCAATAATTAGCTTGTATATGGCTGTATAGACTCAGATTGCGTTGCATGCTTTGTAGATGGACATGAGACCGCACAGATATATCCTCTATGTAGATTGATTCATACCCCCCCCCTCTGTTGATTGCGTCAGAGCCATGATGACGTCGAGGTCTTGATCTTCCAGAGTTGTTGCCGCTGCTATAGATGGATTTGTACTCCTTCCCGTACGTCGGCACAGTGTCGGATCTTGACGTAATACACGCATGCATCTTCCTGTACCTGAGCGATGCATGCATGCAGATACATGTACATGCAAGAAGCCAAGTTCTGATCCGCTTGCATGTTGCTGCATGTTGTCCGATCTATTTACGTCTTCTTGTTCTCGTTCTTGATGATGGATTTTTGGCTAACGGTGGGACGTCGAGTGCTGGAAACGACGGTGAAGGTTGATCCTGGCGGGAACGTCGATCCTCGAGAGTCTTCTTTTGTCGCGGTTGCAGATGGATTTGACGACGGGTGCCGCTTATGATGTTGAACGCCGCCGTCAATTCGTCGTAGATGTTGTTGAAGGAGGTCGTCGTAGCAAGATGGGTTACCGCAATGACATTGGTCTTGAGGTATGCCATCTGGTTCGCCATGGATCAGCACGCACACCCCCTACCTGGCGCGCCAACTGTCGACAAAAGATGCTCGACAGTCCACCGAGGGGTATCCCGCGATGGTAGATTTGTCGGTGGAGGTGCGCGTAATCAGGAACCGGATGGTGACACAAGGTGTAGAGACAGCGATTTAGATAGGTTCGGGCCGTCTGATTGACGTAATACCCTACGTCCTGTGTCTTTGTTGTATTGTATTGGATATGAGATGTATGTAGATCGATGTCCACTAGGGGACCCCTGCCTCTCCTTATATACTCTGGAGGGATAGGGTTACAAGAAAAGTATCCTATTTAGTACTATACAATATCTTGCGGTGCACGTTGACCAATATCGTGCACGCCTTGATCTTGTGGGTTGGGCCACCCCTGGGGGCGTAGCCCATGTGACCTACCGTGGGTATCGGGGGCTATAACCCCACACTTGTTTTTCTTGGAAACCTCATCGTCCGGTGAAAGAAAGCCAGTGAACTGAGCCACCAGCTCCCTCCAGTGATCGTTGTCAACTATACCTATCACTGGAAGTCCCTCCAACCGAAGGCCAAAGATAGCCTTCACGTCCTGCATGGTTAAGGTCATCTCGCCGCAAGGTAGGCGGAACGTGTGGGTCTCAGGGCTCCACCTGTTATAAGAATAGAAGGACTGTTAGTTGCCTCAAATTTGTTATAAGAATGTTTACGTACAAAGAAGGCACTCGTACCTGTCTACAGCTGCAGTAAGTAGTGCTGGGTCAAGGGGCGAAAGACCATAGTTGACAACACGGACAAGCTCGAGGAAGCCGGCATGCCGTATGTACGGCGCGTAATGCTCGTCCCACTGGTGCGCCCTGATGTGCGTGCGGGGCCTCAAAGGAGGCAAGGCCACCTTTGCGTCGGTGTCACTCAAGATGTGTGCTCGGTGCTGATCGTCGTACTCCACCTCAAGAAAGGGATACAACGGGTGCTGCGTGGGAGGGGTCATCCTGTTACAAATTGATAAACAAAGGGTTAGAGTATTCAAATTAACAATATTCAAATTAACATTATATAGCATTACAAAATTTGAACTACTTGTTATGCAATGCGAACACAATATGAAAGCACATGTATATATTCAAATAACATTAACAGACATATTAAACAACTTCACTAGAAAAATAAGTATTTGACGAAACTTCATCAAGTCATCCAAAACGGCGTATCACGCACTATTAAGTATCGACACTTGAAAACTAGTATCTATACTGACAACCTTTACTACTATAAACTAACTAAATAATAAATACCTAATCCATCCCTAAACCTAAAATTCTAACTAATAGTAACCTAAACCCTAACTATCTAACCAAACTTTTACTATACTACAACACACAACCTAAACCTTAAAAACTACCCACCTAAATAAACAAATTCACTAACCTAACTATCCTAAATCACTAACTCTAACTAAAATAACAATCATAATAACATGAAATCGAGATAGGGAGCTACCTTGATATGAGCGGGCGACCGTGACGCGCCGGCGTTCGTGGCGCGGCCGGCGCGGGCGCTGCGTGGCGAGAGTGGGCGGGCGCGGCGGGTGCGTCCGGCTCGGGCGGGCGGCCGGCGGGCGCTGCCGGCAGGGCGCTGCGCAGCGTGCGGGCGGGCGGGCGCGGCGGCGGGCAGGCAGACAGAGGGAGGGTGGCTCGCGGGCGATATTTACCTGAGCCTGCCACGCCGTGGGCTATGACGCGTCAGTGCCGCGCCAAGATCGGTGGCGCGACAGAGGCTGACACGTCACCGGTCAGTAGCCCCGGTCGTCGCCACGTCATTCTCCTGTCGTGCCACCATGCATGGCGTGGCATAGGCATTTCGCCACGCCATGACAATAGGTGCGGCAAAAAGTGTTAGTTTAAAAAAACAGTGTTAGATTTAAAATTAGTTTACAAAAAGTGTTAAAATTAAAAAAAATCTTCGTTGGAGAGTTTAAAGCCTAAGGCGGTGGTGGGTTCATGATGCACTTCCAACTCGCCTCGCTGATGTTGTTGACACTTGTGGCCCCATTCGCTTGGCTGAAATTGGCTAAAAAATACTGTTCTGGCTGAATTGTTGTGAGAGAAAAATACTGATCTGGATAAAAAAAAACCAAACTGAATAATACCGCTTTTAAAGTCAGCCGAACGGGGCCTGACCTATACTATACACGAGGATAATGTAGATGGCGTCGGTTACAACATTACAAGCTCGAATGCGGCGCCCTCAAGGCACTGGACGGCTGGATCGTGTCCATATTGGAGCTGGGCTTACTGTGCTCGAGTGAATCACCTGATAAAAGGATTCCGTCGAATGAGGTGGTCAACAGGTTGAGGAAGAGTAGGACATGTTACAGTTCCCCGTCTGAAGGCTAACTTGAAGATTTTTGGACGCCATGATGAACAGAATAATATTGTATCCACATTGCTCTGTTTTCACCCTTCAGTGACGTGATGCATATATATATTTTAGATTCAACATATGTTGCAGGCAAGTCTTGTTTCCTGACGCTGGTAATAGTTATAATAAGAGCTCGTCCACGGTAGTTTTACCCTACAGTTGTTCGTCTGTAATCCTGGTCCAGTATTTGTAGTGCTTGTGTGCCTGAGACAGTGAGACTGGTCTTAATAATAATAATGGTAATCCCGTAAATAAACAATGCTCTGTCACGCTCCCTCGAGAACGGGCTCCCTGGTGGCGCAGCGCTCGAGGCGAACGCACGAGCGATGTTCACGGTTCACGTGGACGGGTGGGGCCAGTCGGACAGAGCGTGTTCGGCTGGCCACTTCTGGCTGGCTGCACTTCTTTTTTTTCCCCGATTGGAGCAGTGTTTTTCTGTCGTCAAATTTTCAGCTACAATGTTTTCAGCTGCTACAGTGGTAATTTAATGCCCGCCGAACAAGCTGATCGGACTTGGATCGCCTCTAGACCATCCGTCGGTGGGCGGTGTGTGGTGGGCCAAGGCATCGTGTTCCTGACGGCTGCCGCACTCAGCACTCTACTCCTCCGCAGACGCCCACTTTCCCGTCGTGTCGCCTTGCATCCATAAACCAACCACACTCCTCCCCCTTTCCAGTCTCCGCCACGCTCCCGCTCTCCTTCTCGGCGAGGCATGGCGGACTGGGGCCCCGTGGTGGTGGGCGTGGTGCTCTTCGTGCTGCTCTCCCCTGGCCTGCTGTGCGAGCTCCCGGGCACCCACCGCCACGTCGACTTCGGCGGCTTCCACACCAACGGCAAGGCCATCTTCGTGCACACCCTCATCTTCTTCGCCGCCTTCACCATCCTCACGCTCGCGCTCCACGTCCACATCTACACCGGCTAGTAGTTGTATATGTCATATGTGTGGTCGATCTGTCTGGACTCGCAGAGATCAGATCAGATCGGATCAGAAACTAGTCCGGCGCTCTTGATTGTGTTGCTGCTCTTGTTCCTCTTCAACTCGATCGATTCGACAAGTGCTTGTACTGCCGACCTCATTCCTAGTTACTCTATCTATCATATCTGTAGGTACGCTTGCAGGAACTAGTGCCTGCCCTTTAATCGAATCTGTTGGTTGGAGCAAATCTATACTTCTATTTGTTGGTTAATCAATTTGCGTTGTCCATTCTGATTTCCGATCGCTGTGTGTGTCTCCTCGTGTGTTCCAATTCCGCGCTAGTACTAGTGCTGCTTCCGGTTTATTTCAATCTCTCGATCCGCACTCCGCAGCTGCCTCCGCATAGTTGGTCGTCAGGGTGCCTGCGCATGTGGACTCATGCTCTGGTGTGATCTGAATCCGTCAGGACCTCAGTCCATATGTACTTTGTGGTACTTAAACTAATTTACACCTTAATCCATTTTAACCTATGAAAATTAAGGTAAATACGAAACAACGTCTCAACCTACTCCATGCTTCCACAGATGCGCATGCAGTAGCCATTGTCCCCTGCATATATGCTCCCTCCTCTGTCAAAAAGAATAATAATTCCTCTTCTGTCAAAAAATAATAATAATTCTCGCTTCTCAAACAGAAAAAAAAGAGGCAATTCCAGTCATCGTGTTCATGTGCTCTGTATTCTTAACGAACCTGATGACTTCAGGAAGTGCTAAAGCTGCAAACTTGAGAATCCTTACGATCTCGTCTCCAGCGAGCAGACGACGGTGATCTCCTTGATCGGACCGATGAGTGAGCGTGTGTTTGTTCACTGACTCACCTCTGACCTCTCCTGTGCCGTGAGGGAACGGGGTCGGTGTCGGTCGGTTGGTTTGAGGTGGACGTGCACGTGTGTGCTCCGGATTGGGGTCGGTGTCGTACCAGTGCAGCTCAATTTTCTTCGTTCCTCAGCTGTGCTGGCTGCCTGGCTGGGCGCCACGTTGGCGTCTGCGCATGGCCGTGGGCCGTGGCAGCACAGCGAGGGAGCCAACATATCCGACATCAGCAATTCAGGAAGACGTTGTATGTCTATCTATACGACTATACCAAAATGCAAGCTTTCTTTTTACTCATGTTATTAAATTTTATCTGAGAATAATTTGCAGCCTGTTCGGCACTGCTGGCTGGATCATAGATTATTACTGCAGGCTCGTTTGGTGTGAGAGAAAAATACTGTTCTGGCTGAAAGACACTGTTCATGTGAACAGTGCCCGCGTGAGAGGACTGGCCAGCACCAGCCAGCCGCTCCAGCCGAACAGGCTGTTGGATGCCTACCACGTCTAATCTTTGTAGTTCTTATTTCCAAGCAACCTAAAGTCAAAAGGAGGGTATGTAGTATGTAACTTGATGGTGGTGCAAGGTCGACGATTCCTGTCTCCTCCTCCGATCCTTCGTAAGCAAAATCTGTAACGCTGTACGAGTACTGCGCATATGTTCGTGGGCTTTTATTTGACGATCACATTCTCTTCAGAGTTCAGACCGTTGTGCAATATTCAGCGATTTGCTGTCGTAGAGAATAACCACGAATAAGCTTTAACGACAAGATAGGGAGAGGCATGTCCGCATGTGCAGACTGCCACTGGCTTCTTGCAAGATCGAGTCGACACACACCAGGAGTCCAACTCGATCTTTTCGATTTCAGTATTTTGTTTGTAACAACTGCCTATACTAGATTGATCTTTCTGAAGAACGCCGCATCAAATGATTCACAAGCTTTATATAAAGCGCATTTGCCGTTCCTTCTTTTTTTAAAAAGAAAAAAAAAACAAAGGGGGGCCGATTTCATTTTTACTGTGAAAAAGCACGCACACCTATGGCTTTGGATCGGATGCTGAAAATGGCCCTTCTTTTCAGCGTGATCACCAGCTCCTCCTGATTGCTGAAAAAAAAGGCGCGCTTTCCAATTCCATTGCTGAAAGCATGAAACAAAGCATCATTAGCCGCGAGAAAGGAAAACAAAGCATCATTCCACTCCCTCAGCGGGAGCTTCTTTTAGGCCTTGTTTAGTTCACTTCAAAGTTCCAAGTTTTTTCACTCTCTCTCCATCACATCAATTTTTAGACGTTTGCATGGAGCATTAAATGTAGATAAAAAAATAACTAATTACATAGTTTAGTTGGAAATCACGAGATAAATCTTTTGAGCCTAGTTGGTCTACGATTGGACAAAGTTTGTTAAATAAGACGAAAGTTGTACTATTCATCAGTTTGAAATTTTTTTCAATCTAAACAGGGCCTTAATTTGCTTCGCAGTCGCAGGCACGTAGGGGATAAAGTAGCCTGTTTTATTCTGCAGGAAGGAATAATAGGATCTGATCGTGTTTCATGCATGTCGACGGTGGTGTGATGGGGATTCATCAGGACGTTACGTACCATTCCGTCGGCTCACCTGTCACCACACCACCAGGCTCAAAAGTTGGCAGAAAGCTGTGTGGTGTGGCTCCGTCGAACGAAACCTTGGGCCTTGTTTAGATCACCTCTAAATTCTAAGTTTTTTTACTCTCTCTTTATCACATTAATTTTTAGTCGTTTGCATGTAGGTAAAAAAATAACTAATTGCACAGTTTAGTTAGAAATCACGAGATAAATCTTTTGAGCTTAGTTGGTCCACGATTAGATAATATTTACCAAATAAGACGAAAGCGCTACTATTCATCGGGTTGCAATTTTTTGCAATCTAAACATGACCTTGGTGAAATTATTGGGGGCAGGCGGGGCAGGCAGTCAATCCACCGACTACTACGCCCGTACGAGTACTCCCCGACAATTGCACGCTGTAACACGAGGCAAGTGCACTCAGGGCCGTCCCGGGAAAATTAGAGGCCCTGTACGATACTAAGAAATGAGGCCTATTAGCCTAGAAAAAAAAACTAAATATACGATATTATAAAGCATGCAGTATGTTGCAATAAAATATATATCAAGATTCAAGAATGATACCTATATTACATAATCTTTACTTGAATAACATCATTCTAAAAACAAAATTTAGAGATCGATCAACTACTTATTATTGTTCGCGGCTACCAGTGAATGAATTGAAAAATAAATATGAATGATTTATATTACCTTCAGGGCCTTAGCGCCTCGCTCTCGCTGTTGCGGTTGCAGCTAGATCGTCACGGCTCACGCCCTGTCACTCGCGAAACGCTGCCGGCGGCCGGTACGGCGTCAGGCGATGGCGGCGACACGAGACGAGACGTCGAGAGGTAGTACGTGAGACCTAAGATTTGCGATCTGATTCAGTTGGGGAATTGGGATCGGCAACATTGCCAACTGAACAGCGGCCGGGCAACAAGCCATTGTTTATTGGGCTTTGGTCAATTGTTGTACACGTCGCTTTGCTAATGGGCCAAAGGCCAAAGCTACTGCTGTACGTTCTTATTTACCAAGCAATACATATATACGTATATATACTCTATATATATTTGGAGGCCCCTGAAAAGTGGAGGCCCTGTACCGTCGCACACGTTGCACGTGCCAAGGGACGGCCCTGGTGCACTGCGACACGGCGGCGATCCTGCAGCCTGTTCGGCAGCTGCCTGTATCACTTAATTTTTTTCTCATATCAAATCAGTCAACAAATTAAAGGATTCAAAAACTAATGAGCAAGCCGTGGACGGCTCTTTGCATTTCATCGGAAGGTGTGTGTGCGTGTGTGACGAAAGACCAACCCGACCGTAAAGACAACAGCACGAACACCTACCGCTACCGTGCTGTACCGTGTGCGTAGCCACACGGCGGGGCTCCACTGCGCTCCGGCAGCCGCACGAGACCAAGCGGCGCCGCGACGCGAGCCTGAGAGACGACGCGACGCATGGAGAGACCACTCTGACAGTCTGACTCGCCCGAGGCCGCCCTGCCCTACACCACACGGGTGGAAACGGCCAAATCGAAAGGTTAGGTTCAACACAAACAGGGTGTGGAGACCGTGTGCTCGCTTCTCATGGGACTCGAGGGAGAGACCGTCCAAAATGACTCGAGAAGTGGACGCGGACACGTGCGTAGCCCGAGCCCGAGGCCTCCTCACGTGCAACCGCCGTCCGTCCGCCCGTTCCTGGTCCTGGCTCCCTTTCGTCCCTCGTGCAGCCTGCTCGTTGGCCCTGCCGTTCCGTCCGCGGCCACGCGGTGAGCAGGCAGGAAGGCAGGCGGCCCGCCGCGCGTCCGCACACGTGGCTCTCGGTAGGGGCCCCAGAGGTCAGCCACTCACACTTCTTGGCTCTTCTCGCCGACCGTTTGCTCTGCCCAGTGGGCAGCACTGGCAGTGACTCCCTATAAACGCAAAGACAAAGAAGAGCAACGTCGCCCGCACTCCTCACCTGCCGTGCAGACCATTAATTACTCCCCGTCCCCTCGCTGCTTCAGAGTTCAAGAGAGAGAGAGAGAGAGAGAGGGGAAGCTCATCGATCGATCCATAGCTCGCTCGTCGTCCGTCAGGAAACCATGGCTGACTGGGGCCCCGTGGTGATCGCGACGGTGCTGTTCGTGCTGCTGACGCCGGGCCTGCTGTTCCAGCTGCCGGCGCACGGCCGCATCGTGGGCTTCGGCACCCTGCACACCAGCGGCATCGCCATCCTCGTCCACGCCGTCCTCTACTTCGCGCTCATCACCATCTTCCTCATCGCCATCGGCGTCCACATCTACGCCGGCTAGCTAGGTGCCTGAGTGCCTCTCGCCAGGACAGGACGGTTTTCTTCACCCATTTCCTCTTCCTCATGTACTAGCGCTACTCCTTGTTGATGGATGTCTTTGCTCATCGTGTTGCCTGCCTGCGTGGAAATGGAATGATGAACCTAAGCTACAAGTATTACTGTTTGTTTGTTGGTGGTGTCTCTTATGAATTTGTTTAGCTGCGGCGAACAATCCGGATACCGCAGTGTGTTGTATTCAGGGAATTATTATGCTATTCCCTGTTCCTTCTTCCGTCATATGCTTGGTTACTGCTTGCTGCTTGGTTGTACTGCTTGTTCATCGATTTCAGACTGAGCAGTTGTGTACAGGCTCAGAATGAACACCACCGGCTATTGATTCGATTCTACTCCGTATTTTATAGGTTGGTTCGTTCGTTCATCCGTGCATATCCCCTCAGGCCCCCTCTTCTAGTAGTCTTTTTCCTCTGTTCAGACGGCGTCCGCTTGCCCGAACGGCGAACGAGCTCTAACTGAGAAATCGAACTTGTTCATGCCAACATCTCTATCGTTTTGGCACTGTGTGCTCACTGACGTTGAAAAAAAAAATCATACATCTTGCGTACTAGTACAGCTATACTCCTGGCAGATCCGCCCTTCCGCCGTGAAACTCGCCATCACTTGGGTGCTGCTGCTAGAGGCCACACGCAACACAAAATAAAATAAAACATTTTGTTAAAAAGCACACAGAATAACGCAGCCTGAAACACGCTTTTCATCATCCGTCCAGAAACTCCTCCAATTCTCTCCCAAGGACAAAGGTCCGTGGACCCCCCCGGTTTCTGTCAGTTTGAGGTCCCATTTGCTGCTTCATGCTACAAAGCCACTCGTTCCACACATGACTAATGTTGACAGGTACTAATGGTTTCGTAATTTTCTGTTTGTTTCGACCTATCTATGCCTATACCTAATATTCAAAGACAGACTGAAGTGCTTCTTCAGTCACACTTTTTTTATTTGCGAAATTGCTCTCGTGCCATCTGTATCTGTGTGTAATCTGAATTTATGAACTTCGTATGAGTCAGAAGAACTTACGTCCAAAGATGGTAGGGTGTCTAATTCCAAGATGTATTAGGTTCCCTACATCGCACTCACACGTTTGCTAGTATTAAGCTACAAAAGTATAAACAAGTGTGTTTGATTGGACCCTTAGATATAGCGCGTGTCCTTGGCGACTCTCGCCAAGAGGAAACCATCTACAAGCACAACATTCACATATTAGGTCATAGACGTGCTCCGGGTCGTTCGACCCTTTGGTCGCGGGCTTCGTGTCGCCCGACCCCAAGGTCACGGGCTCCGGCTCGCCCGACCCTTTGGTCACAGGCCTCGTCTCGCCCGCCCCTTTGGTGGCGGCCTCGTCTCGCCCGACCTTAAGGCCGCGGACCTCGTCTCGCCCGACCTTAAGGCCGCGGATCTCGTCTCGCCCGACCTCTTGGGTGCAATGTCTGTTGGGGGCTAGGAGTATATATACCTTTTCTTTTTCTCCCCAACGGCTATCTGTGATTTAAGTGACCGTTGGTGCCTGGGGGTATATATACTTTCCCTTTCATTCCCAACGGCAATGAACCAACCTGCTCCCTTCTTCCTCACTTCAGCACACTTAAAACAGAGCAGGAGCTCTCTCTCTCTCACTCACTCTATTGTTGACCTCAAGCCCACAAGCAAATCCATTGATTTTACCATCAATCCTTAGGGGTAAGGGTCTAAAACTTAATAAGAGAGCATCTCCATTGATTCCAAACTCTAAAGAGCACTTGGTTCACGTTTTGACCGGCGGTTGTGTTTGTTACTCTTGGAGCTTAGCTCCTAGCCGGCTAGAGCGTCGTCCGGTGAGCTTTGCCAACTTGTGTGGTAGCCTGGGGAGGTTTGTAACCACCTCTTGCAGCAAGTAAAATCACCCCTCATCTCAAAGAGTTCACTCTCTTGACTTGAGAACGGGGTAGGGTTGCAAATCCCTAAGCCTTAGTGGTATACCTCAACAACGTAGATTTAGGCAAACCTTGGTGGCGAGCTGAATCACGGGATAAATCCTTGTGTCATCCTGTGCTTGTGTTGCTACACTTATGTTCTTCTTGTTGTTGAGGTGATTTCTAGGATTGAGACCGATCTACTTGTGTGTGGTGTTCCCACCACTTTCAGCTGTCGATCTGTGATCTACCACTCTGCAGGAAGTTAAGAAATTTACCCGATCTAAATTTCATTGGGTAGATTTTGAACTGTGAACTAATCTCTCCTGCAGGTGCGGCAGTACCGCGCTCAAACAGCGACAGTGCCGCTGGTGAATTTAACTTCGGTTTGAGTTGAATTGTTACAGGTATATTCACCCCCTCTAGGCGTACTAGAGATCCTACACTTCTTTTTTCTAAAAATAGAAAATCAGATATTATTACTACGATAATGCTTTGATGAGGATGTCAGTCCGGGCGTGTCGGGCCGGACACCCCGTTCCTGGGCCTGCATATCGATTGGGCCCAACAAGCAACATCTGTTTTTCTACTCCCGAATATTTTCCCACTCGCGACCTGTACCACTTTTTCATCGCGTCGTCCGCTCGCAGCGCCGTGTTGACTGTACGATGCGCCGTCTGCTCACCTGCTCTGCCTCGCTGCCGCACCCCATCCTGCGCCGCACCCGCCCCAATCTCGCGCCGCGCTGCGCCGCATCCCGCGCCACGCGGGGCATCCACTGCCGTGACCCATCCACCTCGCTAGGCGTGGCCATGGCATGCAAAGCGCCACCACCACCCTGACGCCAATAGGAGGTCGCCGCCCGTGGGGTGGGTGTGGGAGCTGCCATCCGGACAGACGCCGCATTGCAGATGTCCGGGCGCTGGTCGTCCCTTATTACTACTCTATGCTCTGTAGCAAACATGTACAGACAGCTAAATGTTGGGTTAAGAGAACCACACTGTGCAGGCCCATTTGCACATAACAGCCCAGCCCAAACGTCCAGTCCACCAGCTGGTCGTGAACGTCCCCTCGAACCCATCACACGCTCCGCCCACTCCCCCACGCGCACGGCCACACCTCTCCACCTCCGACGACCACCACCACCATGGCGGCCGCCTCCCTCGCGCGCCTCTCCCGCCGCGCCACCACGTCCGCTGCCGCCGCGGCGCCATCCCTCCGGCGCCTCCTCTCGGCCACCTCCACCGCCCCCGCCGCGGCATCCGCCCCGCCGCCGCCCCCCAGCGCGGCCGCCGCCGCGGCCGTGGGCGCGGATCGGGTGCGGTGGGACTACCGCGGGCAGCGGCAGCTCGTGCCGCTGGGACAGTGGATGCCCAAGGTGGCCGTGGACGCGTACGTCGCTCCCGAGGCCGTGCTCGCCGGCCAGGTCACCGTCCACGACGGCGCCTCCGTCTGGAGCGGCGCCGTCCTGCGTGGGGACCTCAACAAGATCACGCTCGGCTTCTGCGCCAGCGTCCAGGAGCGATGCGTCCTCCATGCCGCATGGGCGGCGCCCACAGGTCACCCTCATCACTCGAAATGCTAGATCTGGTTAGGCTTAGAACTGTTACCTGAATTTCTTAGGGGATCTAGGACACGGTGGGACTGTTTTCGTTTCGGTTGGTGTAGTGAGCAGTCAGGTGTGGCTTGTAATTTGATGATGCCTTGCGCAGCTTGAGACTGAACTGAACCATTGCGTTTCTGAGGAGTTACTTGCCCTGAATGATTTACGAATTTCGTGTGCAAATCGGCATTAACATTTGCTCCATTCCATGGTTCATCTCGTACTGGATGGATACTGCATAGCAGGTTGTTAAGGAAAGTTGAACCGTGTTTACCTGTAAAAAATGCTCTTGTAGATAGGGCTGTCCAATTACACTAGTCGTGCATTAAGTTAATCTTTGATTCATTTAGATGGAAAAAGGATCCATATTAACTAGATTGCATGCGAGTTTGTTCACAAGCTGTTTCGTGGAATTCTCAGAGGCACTTAGTTGATTTCAATATATATATTGTACTGTTCTGTTACACTTGCAATCTCATAGCAAAATGTGAAATTACTATCTTTAACTCATTCAAGGAGCCACATTTGTTTTTGGTAATATACCAGTTCTCATACTTCACAATAATTATCGTAGACTACTGATGACCCACTAGTTAGCCTGTTATTGGACATCCATGTACTACACTGGAGATCCCTGAACTTGTAATGCTATGTGGTGCAAAGAACGTCAATTTCAGTCAGCTCAAAAGGTACTTTACAATTAGAGGGAGCTATGTCAGACAGCTATGAAAGTTTTGTTTACTCTTTTTCATGGTACTTCAGATTTTGGTTCACTCAAAGATTGTGCTATTTTGTCTTGCGTAGTTGTACCACCCTTGTCACATGGGCCGCATTGCCATTAGATTTGTCCATTTTGTCTGGCATTCTGTGGTTTCTACTCCCATTTCCTGTGGCACAAAGCCCTAGTTTCATCCCCTGCGCCACCATCACTCTTGTGTCTTGTTGTTCTGTGACTCTCTTCACTGCACAACCTAAATTCTGTAAATTAACTCTAATGCTGAACCTGTTTGTCTAGGATGCTAGACATGTGCTCTTATACATGAATATACCATCTAACTCTCTTGTCTGTTGTTCTTCATGCCCTTTTTTGCTGAATGTGATGTTTATATCACTTTATGTGTATTTTATTTTAGAATAGGTAATCTCTGAAGGGCGGGCCTGGTGCAAGCGGTAGAGTCTTACCGCCTGTGACCGGAAGGTCCCGGGTTCGAGTCGCGGTCTCCTCGCATTGCACAGGTGAGGGTAAGGCTTGCCACTGACACCCTTCCCCATACCCCGCACAGAGCGGGAGCTCTCTGCACTGGGTACGCCCTTTAATAGGTAATCTCTCCTAGTGGTCCATAGCTTTGTTCATAAATTTTCATGATAAGATTGCATTCTATTATAAGTTGCACTAGTAAACATTTGTTAGAATCAATTTGTGAACTGTGGTTTCTGGGTGGTACTTTCCCTTTACTCTGAACACGCAGCCTTGCCACATGGCATACAGTTTAAGTCTAGATGGATTGGAAATCTCTGTTAGTGTTAAATTTTGATCTTTGTTGGATTGGAAACTTGCCTACTGACTCATTAAATCTATCTATTATCGCTAATTGCATCTCTTGCTATTTTTACAGAAATGATGCATGAGTTGCAAATATAAGCACGGATATTTGATAAAAGAAACCCACACGTGTTATTAGGTTTTGTTCAAAATTCAAATTTTGCTTTAGCCTTGGTCCTCACTTGGCCACCATTGGGTCTATCCAATAGACATCATTTTACCTTATTAGATTTCCCCTGTTTACGCAAATTTGTTCTGGACATATGTGAATACTTTCCACCACTGGAAACCAACTTGCTATAAGGTACCATGAGAAGGAATTTTTAGATTTTCACCTCCTTGTATTATAATGTCCATACTCTGTATGTAACCTGTTGGGAAAGGTTGGATTTGATCTCATCTCCAATGTGTGCTGTTTACAGGGCTTCCAGCTGAGACACTTGTCGATCGGTATGTGACAGTGGGTGCCTACTGTCTGCTGCGCTCTTGCACCATCGAGCCTGAGTGCATCATTGGCCAGCACTCTATCCTCATGGAAGGTTCGCTGGTCGAGACCAACTCAATCCTTGAAGCTGGCTCTGTATTGGCCCCAGGAAGGCGGATTCCGACCGGTGAACTCTGGGCTGGAAGCCCAGCTAGGTTTGTCCGGAAGCTGACCAATGAGGAGATCATGGAGATTCCAAAGCTCGCAACAGCCATCAACGATCTGATGCAAAGCCATTTCTCGGAGTTCCTTCCTTACTCTAACGCTTATTTGGAGGTAGAGAAGTTGAAGAAGTCGTTCTCGATCCCCCTGTAAGAGCATGTTGCCCCCCCCGTCCAGTTGAATGAATGAGGAAATAAAGGTTCCCAAATACTAGATGTTTTGTATTGAATCAAACTTCTACTCTGGGTTGGATCTGTTCTGATCAATTTTTTTTGTTCATTGTTGTTGTGAGCATGGGGACACGTGCAGGAATCATGTCATGTCGTCGTATCTTTTTACCCAACCCAATGAACTGTCTTTTTTTTCATTCTGTTGATTACTTTCAATTTTATTACTCAATGGGAGATGCCAAATTGCAGACTTTACAGTTAGCTGAAGTTGGAACAAATTGCACTCGACGTGTTTCGGCCGTCCTGCCTGTCCCTTGGCATGGCGTGCTGCTGCTGCTGGCTGTTAGCACAGTATTTCTGTGAGAGTCGGCAGCAGCCAAAGCGGCTGTGAAACACTACTACACAAATGATTTTACGCGACACCCCGGAGGCCACCGAGGCGGGCACCTATTTTTGCCCGTTACGGTAAATGCCACAGTTTATCTAGGCGGGCATTTTTTATTTACCACGGCGGGCTTTTTTATCCGCCACGGTAAATTGATTTTGTCGCAGAACCGATCAATTTATAAGAATACAAGTACAATGGCAATCCGCAAGCGGTCGCACTGTCATACTTGAACCCATATAAACCCGGTAGTCCGTCGAGTACCACGACGGGTCTCGATAAACGATTTATAACAACCAAGATCGTACAGGATTCAACATACATGCCACATATTACATAAAGTTCACAGATACTTTTCGTCATCAGAGTACGAATAAAAGTTATTACAAACTGAGTTTGATAAGTAAAGCGGAATCAAATAAGTTCGAAGATAAAGTTTCCAACATAGTTTGATACAGTGCCAAGCTAGATCACGGTCCACAAAAGCAAAGATAGGAATTACTAAAGAAGCCTGCCCAAGGCTTACTCCTCATCCACAGCGGGATAGAAGCAACTCTTGCAATAACCATGATACACATTGCCATACGCAACATTGGGAAAATAAACCACGAGTACGAGAAGGTACTCACTAGACTTACCCGTCATGAACCAGAAATAAAATGACTCAAGGAGTATGCAAGGTCAGTATAAGTGGACGTAACTTGACAACATTTTGCGAAAAAGGCAACTGATCCGTTGTACAATTATGATTCCTTTACCAAGTTAATTAGCACTATCCATTTCTAGATTAGCAACTATCCTGTACCAAACATGTGGTATATCATTTAGAAGCATACAATAGTAACCATAGCAGCGGTATTGGAATTCCATTTTCGTCCGAACCATCATGTTCCATAACACAATTACTACGATGTTGGGACTAGCCAAGTTTCTCACTATCCGGGAGAGACGGCGATTCAATCGATTTCAACCACCGGGAATTTATTCCTAACACAAACCCAGTCTACCAACCGATAGCCTTAGGTCACCTTTGGTACAACTCCGGTACACATTTCATGGTCCGTCTTTGCGCCGCAAACTGGAACACCGGATGCCGGGATGCTCGAGCCAAGCTCGCCTTTGGCTCTCGATCGATCGTTCCCGGAAGGAGCGCACTGTGAAACGATTCCCGGCACGAGTTGAATTACTCGGCCAGCGGTGGAACGAATTATCCGGCCAGCTAAGTGAGAGGCATGCGTTCAATCTTGTCGAAGCACCAACAACGATACGGTCCTTAATCGACATAGACGGGGATAAATCCACACCCAAGACCTCCATGTCTTGTTGCTTCTCTATCTGCTTCCGTCCGGTCTCGATTTACTTTTTACCACATGGTTCTGTTCCACGATAGCGAGATATAGCCAACCGTGCTCGGTATCCACCTATATCTCGCAGTGACAGGACATCACCCGACTTCTACCGGTCTAAGCATGGCTAAGCATATATATTCGATCATGGACCTATACCGTTCTGGTGTAATATTTGGACAAGGAATGTACATGCATCAAGTGGTTTCATTCAACTCTTATAACCTAATGCATCAATCATAAATACGTAAGTAAACATTTGTAAATTCTTCGGAGACTTATAATGCTCCGGGGCTTGCCTCATGAGAAAGGAAGTAGGGCGATGGTCGGACACTCGGAAGCTCTTGAGGTTCTCGCTCACGCCTTCGGAGCTGCGGCTTGCGGATCCTCCTGCGGGTTCCTTCCTCTGCTTCTTGAATTCCAAAGAACGTGATCTCTTCCTCCGATCCTAGATGCATGAGTATGGTATAAGTATTACGAATGCATATATGTTAACAAGTGCATCACGTTGTTTGAGTAGGTGCATATCTCTTCTCGATTATTACTTAACTACTTCTACAATGCATCGACTATGCTACAAACAGTAGCTACTTGTTTCACTCATAACTGGAGTTCTACAAATCCAAATCCAGTGATCCTGGACTTTCTGGAAAGCTTATCAAATTCTCTACAACTTTGTTATTAACCATTTTTACAGTAAACATCATTTTCAACATGCAATTCATCAAACTCTAGAATCAGTCCAGAAACTATTCAACATGCAATATAAAGTAACGATACTTCTACTTCATGCAATCATTCAAAATTTGACAACATAGAATCCACCAACAGTTTAAGAATACCAATTACATTTAGAATCATATAATGGTGAGGCCTAAACTATTTATTAAATTGCCTTTATTATTTTATTTAGATATCTAGGTTAAATAATAAATATATATCAGATGTGCTTCATAAATTCTCAAAAATTTACAGAGCCTTACTAATGCTATCAAAGGACTGCTATAAAAATTTCAGGTCATTTTACTAAGTAGAACATTCTATACAAAAATGATAAGGCAGCAAGGCTTGAAATAGCATAAATGGAAAACCCTATTGAAAAGTGTCAAGCAACAGATTTCATATTTTTCTTAGCATCCACATGGTACTAGGATTACCTCCAACAAATTTCATGAATTTTGGACTCATAAATAATTTATGAAAATTCATGCAAGGATTAACTAGTCATAAAAGAAAAATCTATAACTACAAATCTACACATGCACTGGTCCTCAAATTTTTACCAGGGCTCACATATGCTAAGATTAGTTCACCACAAAAATTTCATAATTTTTGGAGCACAGGAACTCTAGATATAAAATAAACAAATTTGAATGCATTCAAAAGCACATTTCAAATCCCTATTTAAATCTCCAGAAATTTCTACTGTTGAATCCAAGAACATATTTTTCTTAAATACTACACTTCCTAAGCAACACAATCATATTTATTTCAAAATTTTAGGAGCTCCCAAACTGATGATACAAAATTCGCAAAACAAATCAAAAACTGGAACATTTGAACTAGCCTACAACACAGCTGTCGCTGATCGGTGGGACCCGCTGGTCGGGGGACCCCACGCGTCAGTGACACGGAGCAGAGCAGCGGCGCTGCTGGGCACTGCGCGGCTGCGGCTCGTCGACGGCGAGCTTTGCTTTGCGTGATAACGTCTTCACTACACGATCTACGTGACCTAGCGAAGCGATTGAGCCACTTGGCCGGTCCTATTGCCGACCCTAGAGCTGACGGCGGCGACCATGGCGGAATGGCGGGGCTGGACCACGGCAAAACGCCGGTGACGACCTCGGGGGCCCGATCTAAGGCTCGGACGAGCACCAGGGTACTACGGCGGACCTAGCGCACCAGCTATCATGCGGAAAGGTAGACTACAACGGCGTGGCCACGATGACGGACCACGGCGGCGAGCTCCGACAAAAAGCGTGGGCTTCTTGCGCTTACCGAGCTTGAACAATGGGCAATGGGGGCGCGGGAGTTGCTTTGGGGTGTCGGTGGTGCTATTGCGGTGGCGGAGGAGCAATGAGGACGAGTGCCGTCGGCAATGGCGCTGGCGGCTCTGGTGCGGGAATGGCTGCAGCGGCGGGCGAGGAAGAAGGCCGAGGAAACGAAAAATGGAGCGTGGAAGGGTGTCGGGCGGACGCTGGCGGAGTTAAGGCCGTGCCAGCGCGCGGCGTGGCTCGCGGACAGACCGGGCGGGCGACGCGGCCGCTTCCGCGCCACGCGGCTTTCGTGTCTGAAACCGGTCCGGCCATCGTCTTGGGACGATTGGATTCGTCGATCGCGCGATGCGATGCTGACGATGAGTTTTGACACTCCTTTAACCGCTAATCCGTAGCTTCTCGGTAAAACGATCTACATGGTTTTGTAGCCCGAAGTACCAGCTACAACTTTGGTTCAAGCACCTTGTTCTAATTCGCAATGAGACGGAGTAATATCGTGCTCAACATCGGTTTGTCGATCCGGTTAGTCGATCAACCACTTAGAAAATTTGCTAAGTGTGGGAAGTCGGGATTTTTCTCGGGTTTTTGTGGGACCCATTCAAGCATGTTAGAAGCTAAATCAGTCCATGACCCGAAAATAAAAGTTGTTCCTTATGTCAAACACTACAACTTTGCTTTAGTGAACTCCTCCATGCAAGGTCTCTAACACCTAGTTCAACTTTAGTCAAACATGTCACTTTGAAAACATGATACATACACAAACCATGGCTAAATGACCAAACTAGCCTTAGCACTAAATACCAAAGTTGTTCCTAATGATATCCTAAGCATGTTTAAACAATTTGCAAGGTCATTTAAGCATTTCATGTAGTAGTCACTCATATAGCTATTCAGGTCAACACATGAAATATCACTTAAGTGCTTGATCATGAAATGTGGCCTTCATGAACAAGGTTCCTTTTGTTAACCTAAGTGTAGCTAAGGTGTTTTAGTGACTAGCACTACCCACTTGCATTCATTTGCACATGATCATATGCATATGTTCCAAGAAACACGGAATAACAAGCAATGTTTCATATGTTTCGATCAAATGTTTCAATTGTAAATGATGGTTTAAGAATGCTTGATGCTCATGCTCATGTTATGCAAGTCAAGTTATGCAAGGCTAACACCCGAGGTGTTACAGATTTACCGTGGCGGACATCTTAAGATGTCCGTCACGAAAAATACCATATTTTTCGCGGCGGACATCTTA